GGGGTGGAAAGGAGGAGTGTGCTGTCACAGTATGGGGAGAGCAATTAGAGTCACATAATAATGTATGTATAAATTTTTATATGGGAAAAAATTTTTAAAAAAAAGAAATTTAACAGGCAGGAGGAGACTGGACAGAATGAAAATATATTCTGTGTCAGTAGGGCGATTTAAGATATTCCTTCCTGAAATAAGATAATATGTTATGAACAAACAGTTAATATTTATTTCAAAGGCAAATGTATACTAGTTTTGGAGACCCAAAGAACCACTTTCCAGGACTACAACATGCCATTTCCAGTGTCTGTAACACTGTTGTTAGTTGCTGTCAAGTTCATTCCAGTTCATGGCGATGCCAGGTGTTCAGAGAACTGCTCCATAGGGTTTTCAAGGTTGTGAGCTTTCCGAAGGATACTGCCAGGTCTGTCTTCCAAGGTGCCTCTGGGTGAGTTCAAATTGCCAACCTTTGAGCGAGTAGCTGAGTACTTAGCTGTGTGTGTCACCCAGGGACACCTTCTGGAACATTAGCTCCATTTATTGCCTTTTCATCTAATTTATTCACTCATTTGGTCTCAGCTTTGATCTGCTTCCATAAAGATTAAAACCAAGAAAACCCTATGGAGCAGTCCTACTCTGTTAACACATGGGGTTGCCATGAGTCAGAACTGTCTCGATGGCAATGGGCTTGGTTTTTTGGTTTAAGTCTCTGGTTAGCACTATCTCTTCTAGGAAGCCATCTGACTCACCCACCCTACTCCAAGGCTGAGTTAGGCACCTTTTCTATATATTCTCCTAGCATCTGTCACACAAACACTCAAATGGCATAACTGCCTGTATCCCCTGCTAATCTGTACTCACTATGAGGGAAGGACCTGTGTTTCTCATCTAGTTGTATCCCATTTGTGGCAGTATGCATATCTGTAGATTGGTAGATAAAGTGACTCCCCAGTTTTGCTTTTCTGTCACGTAACAAGCAAATTTATGCACAGAGTAGTATTCAGGTCTTTGATAAAGAAGAGTATTCTAAAGGGAATTAAGGAAAAATTGAAATGCGAAGTCTTTGAAGAACTTCTGCAGTTTTCTTACCTCAGCACAGTGGGATTCATCAGTGTCGTCATGGCCGATGCTTCTCTTCCACTCCACCCATGAGAGGTAGAGCTTATCCTGAGCATTATGAATTTTCTGGTTGGCACCATGCACATTCTTCCTGGCAAATTCAATCTAGGACACAATGAAATAAGACAAAGGAACAAACTAGTTAGACATTCACGTTAACTTATGCTCATATGCTTGATATGAATCATATGACACAAAATCCATGAATTTCTTTAAGTGTTTAAGGAAAACTATCCCTGCTGTCATTCCTATTATCAATATGAGTAAGTCAGCCAAGTAGTAGTAACTCTTTACTAAACCAAAACCAAAACCAAACCCACTGCTGTTGAGTCAATTCGGACTCACAGCAACCCTACAGGACAGAGCAGAACTGTCCCATAGGGTTTCCAAGGCTGTAAATCTTTACAGAAGCAGGCTGCCACATCTTTCTCCTGCAGAGCCGCTGATGGGTTTGAACCGCCAACCTTTCGGTTAGCAGCCAAGTGCTTTAACTACTGCACCACCTGCCTCTATATGACTATTAAACCACTGTTTTAAACCCGAATTTACCTCCAGTTTACCACAGGTAACACAACTAAAATTTAATTGGTATATGTGTGAAGTAAAAATTAAAAGTACAAAAGACTAAGGAGTTCAACCCTCCTTTTCCCTATTGCCAGTCACCTATTTCCCTTTCCAAGAAGGAACCACTTTCTTATGGCAGTGCAGTACACACTGTTCTGTAACTTGGAAATCTTTCATTGCTACACATTAGTCTATTGTGATCTATCAATTTAGTTAGACCCCTATTAGTTGGAATGCATTGCTTACAGTCTTTTGCAAATCGAAACAAATATACCTATCCGTAGGATAAATTCCTCAAAGCAAAACTGCTCAAAGTATAGGTCTGTGTGTAATTTTCCTAGGTACTGCCAATCAATCCCTTGAACCTGTTTCTTGAATTCTCCAGAAGTATACCAGTGTGCCTCTTTGTCTACACCCTTGCCAAAAGCATCAAACTTTGCCAGTGTGATGGGACAAAAGAAGTATCTGTACTTATCTTATGTAAGAGTAAGATTAGCATCATTTCATGTTTGAACTATTTATACCTCCTTTTCTGCCAGTTAACTGTATACCCTTTGCCCATTTTATTGGGTTGTCCACAAGGCAACATCTAAAACTCCTAGATTTCATGATAACCTTTAATCTCACCATTGAGATGAATGAACTCACTTCAGGTTACCTTAAAATGAAGTTTTACTCACCAGGTTAACAATGGCATGGAGTTGAGAAATGGTCTCTTGGCTTTTTTGCTTAGCTTCTGTAACCCTGCTGAGAGCCTGCTGGTAGGCACGTGAACGGAGCTTGGTAGACAGAGATCCCAGTCTAACATAGTAACTTGGCTTCTGAACCATGTCAAATCCTTCGACCTTTTTCGCCTCTTTTTCTGAAGTCAGAAAGGAGGGACAAAAAATTTAAAGGAGCACAACTCCAAGAACAAGGCCTGGACTCTAACCCAGGTCTTGACTTGGTTGATTCTACCCTCACACCTACCAATGATGCACTCATTTTCCTAAGATTGCTCGTCTCCTCCAGGGGTTGACTACCTGAACGCTTCACTGTACTGACATTTTCATCCACACGTCTCTTCCCACTACAATGAGCTTCTTGAGCAACACAGTACCCAGCACATAAACTAAAGCAAATTCACTGCCATTGAGTCAACTCTGACTCATGGCAACCCCATGTGTTACAGAATAGAACTGCACCATGGGTTTTCTTGGCTGTAATCTTTACAGAAGCAGATCGTCAGGCCTCTTCTTCTGCAGTGGTGCTGGGTGGGTTCAAACCGCCAACCTTTAGGTTAGTAAATGAGTGCAAACCACTGTGCCACCCAGGGGCTTTAGCCAGCACAAAGGAGGCACTACGTGTTTAATGATGATTCTGTAAAGCAACCCATTAAAGACAATCCGTTTATAGAGAATCGTTTTTCTAGGCTAAACTTTCTCCTAAAGTTTAAAACTTACTCTGTATAATTCAATGTGAAACAAGATTGCTTGAAGAAGACAAATCTAGCTTTATAGGTATAGAGTTTCTGTTTAGGGTGATGAGAGAGTTTTAGAAGTAGATAGTGATGAAAGTTGTACAACACTGTGAATGTAATTACTGCCACCGAATCGTAAACTTAAAAATGGTAAATTTTATGTAATATGTGGCACAGTGGTTAAGCACTTGGCTGTTAACTGAAAAGTCAGTAGTTCAAACCCACCAGCAGGAGAAAGATGTGGCAGTCTGTTTCTGTAAAGGCTACAGAAACCCTACGGGCAGTTCTACTCTGTCCTATAGTCAGAATCCTGTGAGTCAGAATCGACTCAACAGCAACGCGTTTGGTTTGAGATATATATACAAAACCACAATAAAAAAAAAAAAAGGAAGGCATATCTAAAGAGACAGAAAGTAGATAAATAGTTGACTGGTGGTGGGAACTGGAATTGACTGCAAACAGGCATGATGGATATTTTTGGGGTGATGGAGATGTTCTAAAACTGGATTGTGGTGATGAATGCACAACTGTAAATTTAGAATGAAAGCAGACAAATTTTATAGTGTATAAAATATATCTCAATGAAGCTGTTAAAAAAAGAATTGCTTTGAGATATAAAACATTATTTCAAGACAAAAATCTGATTACCTAGTTCTTCCTGGGTGAGAGGGAGATACTGGTCTACCAGCAGCTCTGATTTGGTGAGTGCGTTTTCTACTCCACTGTTCACCAGCTGTATCATCCGACTTCCCAAGACTGTGTTAATGCTGCCGTTGACCACAGACTTGGTCCTCTCCACACTGCCAGTCACCGCTCCTTTGGTCTTGTCCACCACTCTGGTGATTGTGCTGGCCACAGAATCCTTGGCACCAGTCACAGTAGTTGTTACAGCATCTTTTGCCCCAGTCACAGTAGTTGTTACAGCATCTTTTGCCCCATTCACAGCACCTTTGGCATTGGCAACAACCTACAGATAGAGAGGCAGATCACTTGGTGGGTCAGAAGCACGGGCATTAACAAACATTGAAGGTCTTTGCTAATGTAGCACAGTTGAAGAGTTAAGTAAGAAATTTCGTACTGGCACTTTCTAGCTTTGGAGTCTTGGGCATATCATTAACCTTTAGTGAGCCTCAATTTCCTCATCAGGTATATCTGGCCTACCTACCACTCCACAAGGGTTGTTGTTGGAGGAACAAATGAGGTAAAGGCAAATAAAATTCATCAAGTTTTCAAAGTGTTAAGTTTAGTTTTGTTTTTTTTGTTTGTTTGTTTTACTATAGGAACCTATAGTGAGGTAGAGGGGTTACTCTAGAGAAGAATGGCATTTTCCATGTTGACATGCTTATACTGGGAGCAGTTCCTACACTGCATACTCTCTCAGACACAGGTACCATACATGCCCAGTTCTTTGCACACAACCCTTTGAGGGACAACACCTAAGCAGAGATGACAGTTCACCATACCTGTCACTCACACAGGATTTCCAAACCACCATCCTACTCAACCTCCACGCCATGATACCCAAAGGTAGCCTAGGGGCATGGCTGACTGGTTTTTCCCATTTTGCTCAAGTGTAAAGGAGAAGATGCAGACTGGCAGCACAAAAGATTCTCCTCCTTTGTGCCTATACAGCACCACGATCATACCTGGCATGCTTGACTGGGTTCCGTTCCCCTCAAACACTACAAAATATTTTTACAATTAAACACGGATACTGAGGAAGTAAACCCATGTGCATTCTAAGTTGCTACAAGGGAAGCAAGGGAGAAGCTGACTGGAAAAACAGTGGTCCAAGTTCCAAATTCAAGTGAGCTAACTCATAGTTCTGCTTCCTATATTGGAGAAGAGAGAGGGGACACATGAAAGATTTCCTCCAGGCATATCTTAGGTATAGAACATAAAGTTTTCAAAGTCATTTCATAAACTAATGACTTGTGCAAGATTACACATGAAATGAGGACTGAAAACATAGATCCTGACTTAGTACCATTTTTATTATGAGGAAAAAACAGCTTTAAGCCTAATGGGCACTCCATGAGGCCCCACACAAAGGAGGTGGCAGAGACTGGAATTTTAGACAAAGATAACAGCTACTACAACCCTCTCCACTTAAAAACTTAATGACAAGGATGCTTACACCAGCTCTATAATTCTAGTTGTATGATTCAATGGGGAGAGATAAAGCCTTCAGTTTAGTTATTCTCTCAAGAGTCCTTTCAGTCACCAATATTCCATGAAGAGCTCACTCCATTAGGAACAGTTAATAGATAATGTTGACCACTTGCATGTGAAAATAAAAACAATTAAATATTTACACTTATAAAGTAAGCCTTCTTTTCTTCCAAGTCACTCACTTTGTTTCTTCAAACACAGGGTAAATTATTCATGGTACCAGGTTATTTTGCAAGAGCATTTTAAGATATTAAATTTCATCTCCTTACAGGCAAGGTGAAATACGACAAACGGGCAAATGCCCTCTGGTATAATCCAGTCATGAGGTACTTAGAGGATAGTGTAAATTAATATATCTAGTGTTATCATTCTGTGAAGCAAGCAAGAGAAAAAAATTTTCTCTCTATGGCTGCAGAAAGTAATATCACACATTGTTACGGCATGCCACACAAGATATATGGGCTTCTTACACTGACTTTCTACCTACCATGACAGATTAGAGGCCACAGAACATAGTAGAAAGAACACTAGACTGAGGCCTGAATAAAGCTATGACACTAATGTCCTGGTCTAAATGACTACTTCCAAGTATCGAGTTTTGTTACCTGTGAAATAAAAATACCACCTAAAATAGTTATGTGGATTAAATACACAACAGTGTATACATGTTAGTTTGGGATAAGTCAGATTTGGCTAAGTCCATCTGGAACTTCATTTTTTTTTTTTTTTTCCTTACATATGGGCTTGTTTAAAAGGGCTTTTACTCAATATCAGTTCAAATGTTTAACAAGATTAAAAGTCTACATTAAAAACTAAATGTTCAGTCCGTACTACAAATGCCAACATTTGCTTATAGGCGTATAGTTAAAAAAAGACAGGAAAAAAAAAATCACAAGAAGAAACAAGATGGTAACTCATTTTTTGGTGGGATTACAGAGCTTTTATCTAGCTCATTCCAAAGTCACAGAAATCTAGTGAGGAGACGAAGATGAAGCTGAGGTTACCCCCCGACCCCCCGGTATCAGCATGCAGTAAATCCTTCTTTAAGTATTTGTTAATGCCTCAAATGGAGATCATCTCCAGATTAGCATTTACTAGAAATTTCAATAACCCAACCCAATTTTTTTTGTTAATTTTAAATAAGGTAACTTGACTTACAATGTTACATACAAGTTACTGAAATTTAAAGAAACCAAAGTAGAAAATATTTACTCTTCCCATTAGAATAGTCTCAAGTAGCATAACTAGTTTTTTTGAAAAGACATATACATTCTAAAAGCTATACACTAAATCTGTCTATTTAGGTTATGAAAGATACAGAGTCAGATTTTTCCCTACTCATATTACTTTGTGTCATGCTGTATGCTTGGTTTGAAAGAAAATTCTAGGACATATCTATACCAAAGGATCACCAAAATGAATGGGCCTATCACTTCTGTCAACATTGGCTAGTTGTCCATTCAGATGGTAGTCAGTCCCATCAACATTGCACCAAGCCAACTTAGAAAAGGTTCTAGTATACCACCTCTGCATTTACCCAACACCCCATGGGAATCAGTTATTTGAGAGGGCACCTTCATCTGCAGAGGTAAAACCACCAAACTGATAGGGATGAGACAAAGTTTTCTAGTCCAAAGGTCGCTAATTTTTCTCTACTTCTTAGACATAACCTGACAACAGTTCAGGAAGTAAGGAAGTAGCTATGATTCTTCCAAGTATTTGCCTGTGTATGGCACACACAGCCTATGATAAACAGATAGAACATGGAAACATGCAAAGTGGCAAGACTCATCACTTGGTCTCAAGCTCACCTGGTGTGTCGGCTGATTCAGAATAGGCAGTTTCTCCTCAATCTTGTCTAGCTGTTTACAGGCATAGGTATTAGCAACTGCAACTGAAGAATCACAGACGGGGAAAGTTAATGTAACAGTGCAGGCATGAAATGAACACACATTACTAGGCCCTAAACTTTTAGCCTTATTATTAAAAAAAACAGCAAGAACGTTGATTTTCATTTACCACAACGTATGTTGCCTGGTTTCCCTAGCTCAGACAGGAATAGGCTTGGCATGTTGCTGGCAACTTTCCTCTATTGCTAAGGAAATGAGGGCGAGCAACAGAAAGTGGCACTGACAGGTCAGGTGGGAAGCTGGCTCCACCAGCTGCTCCTTGGAAACCCTATGCGGCAGTTCTACTCTGTCCTACAGGGTCACTAAGACTCGGAATTGACTTGATGGCAACAAGTTTGGTTTTGGTTTATACTAAATGTAGTGTATGGCAGTGTATTTTGGGTATGGGGAGGTTCTCCTAGACATCACCAGGAAAAATATACTAACACCACCCTGAATTTCCCTAACAAGTTCCAAATTTTAGTCCAAGCTTCCCCCTTGCTGATGATCAAGACAAGCACTAGCCCTCTGTGCACCAAATTCATTTGGGAAGTAGCAGACTTGAAATAACTGGTCTCCAGGGATCCCTTATAAGCCTAGGGGCAACGCATTTGGCAAAATGATTTAAATCTTTATTCAAAAGTAGTTTGCAACATGAAGATATTGGAACCACCATACACACAGGAGTGACTACTTTTTGGGGTGACGAAAATGTTCTAAAATTGACTGCGCTGATAGTTGCACAATTCTTTGAATACACTATTGGTGAAAAATCATTTAATTGTATACTTTTTATAATTTGTTTTGTTATTGTTGTTGAGAATATACACAGCAGAACATACACCAATCCAATAATTTCTATCTGTACAGTTCAGTAACATTGATTACATTCTTGGAGTTGTACAACCATTCTCGCTCTCATTTTCTGAGTTGTTCTTCCCCCATTAACATAAACTCACTGCCCTCTAAGGTTCCTATCTAATCCTTTGAGTTGCTGTTGTCAATTTGACCCCATATAGATAGATCTTAAAAGAGCACAATGCTCAAGGCAGGCATTCTTTACTATGAACTATACACTTTAAATGGGTGAATTGTGTGGTATGTGAGTTATATCTCAATAGAGATGTTATTTTAAAAGGCAGTTCATATGCACTGTGTGGTCCCAAGGAGGTCAATTATTTCAGTTCACCTACTGCATCCTTCCTTTATGATCTCAGTTGTCACCATCAAAGCATCTCTAGGGGTGGCAACCAAGGTCACAAAACAATATGTGTATTAATTGTTTAATGAGAAACTAATTTGCTCTGTAAACCTTCATTTAAAGCACAATTAATAAAAAAAAAAGCTTACTGTTAAGAACATATAAAGAATCGAATCAAATGTATTTATTAAATGCCCAGATGTACATAGCTTCATTCAAAGTAGATGAATTAAGAATTTACATGGGACAAAATGGAGAGACAAATCAACAAATAGGAAAGTACTTAACTTCAAGAACAATGAAAGGAAACATATGTAAAACAATGGAAGGTATTGTCACTACAAATGAGAACTTCTCACTTAACTGTCTTTGTAACTCCAGCTCCTACCACACTGCTTAACTGGAGCTGTCAAAAAAACGATCTGAATCATATGGAAATAGGCAAAGGTTTCTAGGTGTTCTTTCAGAGCAGAACTGGGCTGGTACCTTTGATTGGCTTTCTATTGACTGGGGTCTTGTACAACCCTATAGGGGGAGAGGTTAACTTGTAGATTTTTGTCTGGCAGAGATGCAAATAATTTCTGTTCAGCGGAAAAGATAACTCCAAAGAATACAGTTTATGACCTTGCAGGATATTAACCAGTTTTGTATCTAACCTAGCAATCTTATCCTAACCTTCCTTTATGAAACTGCTTATAAATCCCTGGCTCCTCAAATCAATTTTAACATCTTACGGGTTCCCTCATAATCAATGAGTTTAATAAAATCTTTAGTATGTGTTCAATTTAAAAAAAAAAAGAAAGCATCTCTAGGAGGGATTATTGTAAAGCATCATGAAAATCTGCCATGGCTAATCAATTCACTAAAGGGTACATGTTGAATTGGTGTATGTTTCACTGTATATATTCTCAACAACAACAAAATAAATAAAATTTAAAGAAAAAAAAATCTGCCACGGCTATGAAGCAGGCCTTCTATGACAATCCGGGTCACTAGACAGTGTCTAGGTAAAGGCAGTATTTGCCTCAAGAAAGGCTGTGGATCCCCTGACGATACCACTGTGAGCTCAGGGCAATTAGGCTGGCATTCACAGTATTTAAAGCAGCTGCTGGCTCACCCTGAGCAGTCTCTTGGACTGACTCTTGAGCGAAAAATCAGAACTCACTTTGAGGCTCTAACTTCTGGATGATGGGCAGAGCACTCATCACAGCCATGGAGGTGATGGTCTTCACGCCCTGCTCTGCGATCTCACACACAGACTTCAAGTAGGGATACTGATCCTTTGTACTGATGTAAGCTGAGAACACCAGGTCGTAAGTGGAGCTCACCAAAGGTAGGTTGGCCACCCTAGTCACCACACTCTGCAACCAAAGATTGGGGGGAGGAGTTAGCTTCTCAAAATGTACGTGGAGGGAAAAAGAGTAAAGAAACAGCAATTTAAAACTCATACCGGTTGTGGATCAACTGCAACAGATCCCATTTTTCTTCCTTGATAAAGAAGGAGACTGTGGAAAAGAAACTTCTATCAGGATCTGGGAGGGACGAGACCCTCTCAGATACATTCCCCAACCCAAGCAAATGCTAATTTCAAGTAGAGCAAAATTCAAGATGAGATCAGTGTAGTCCTCTGCACTTCTTCCAATCCTCTTAACTCTCAGGCTTCTCCTAAAGGCAACAGCTTCTGAGGCAAGGTATCAGACCTTGTGTTTAAACTCTAAAAGAGGCTCAGCAAAGAAATGCATAGTTGTTGATACCTGTGTCTTGTTTCTTGCCAGGGTACTAGAAATGTCTTTTGAAAGGCAATATCTGTTCACAAAAATGCTGAGTTGAAATCCATGTTAAGACTGTAAAGAGATACTCAGTAGAAGACCTCTTGGTCAGTCAACACTCCTCTGGGGGTCACAGGATCAGGATTATAGAGTTGGAGCACCTTGGGCAGGATTTATTTTTACCTTTCTCATGAAAGAACGGAAACTTGTTTAGGGGAGACTAAGCACGAAAACAAAGAGGTACTACGAGGAACTGAGAAACGTTCTGGGAGCGTAAATTCAGTATCCCCGACGACCTCCACGCAAGCAAAACTGCCTACGATCTGGGGAGGAAAGAACCCGCACAGCCGCTGTCCACTACTTCCGGGAGAGTCAGTTCACCCTCCTGCCACTAAGGGTCCCCGTTCTACTACAAATGAGTAGGTGCATTAACTATTTAGAGAAAGAACGCGTTTTTTCTCCAGGAGACCCACCTTTAAGATGGAAGTCAGGCGCCAGTACCGACTGCCTCACTGACCGTGTACCCCATAAAATTTTGCTATGAGAAAATTTTTTAACCCATTTTCCTTTAAGTAATGTCACTTCCGGACAAATGGAAACAGTTACCCAGCCACCATCCAGGCAAGCCGAAAGAGATTTAATAACGGCACTAAACTCTTAGCAGAAAAGAAACCTCAACGAATAAAAGCCAGGGTCGTAAGGACAAGTCCAAGAGACCGTCCCTTCCCAGTCAGGGCCCCGTAACCGACCCCCCAACCTTAGAGCCCCACGGGAGCTCAGTAGCGGCTCCCAGAGCGCCCGAGGATCCCCCACTCGGCGCTGGGGAGGGACCTGGGACCAGCTGGCTGCGGCAGGGAAGGGGCGCACACCTACCGACCGACAGCAAAAAAGAGGAAAGAGTCCGGCGACTCCGCACCCCCAGCTCTGACAACCCAGACAGCGTCCAGCGCGGTGTTCGCGGGCGACCCGCCTATATACCCAGCCCGCGCCTCCGCAACACGTGACGGAAGGCCCCGGGAACGCCACCCCCCTCGCCTGCGTGTTACGCCGAGTGTAGCTCTCAACCGCGCCCAGGCGCCTTCCGGCTCCCCCGTACACTGCGGGACCGCCTTGCGAGCTGGGGGCACTTGTCTCGATGTAGGTGTTCTGCCTGGTCGGGGGTGTAGTGCCTGTGTGGGGAGGGGCCTGCCTGGTGCGGGGAGCCTTGTCTGGGACCTGCCTTGGTTATGGGACCCTGAGAGGCTGGTGGCAAGTGTGGGTGGTGCCCAGGTGGGCTTTGGGGGTTTTGCAATAGGCAGTGGAGGGGGCGCACAGGAGCCCTGGTGGTGCAACGGGTAAAGCGCTGGCAGGAAAGTCAGAGGTTCAAACCTACCAGCTGCTCTGCTGAGAAAAAACCTGGGTATCTGCTCCTGTAAAGATTCAAAAAACCCAAACACCCACTGCGGTCATATAGGATCACTAGGGTCGCTGGGAGTCGGAATCGACTCAAGGGCACATAACACTAACAACAACAATCTGATGATCAACATCATCCTCAGCATAGAAATGCCTTTTAAAAATGGAAACAATGGCTTCTAGGCTGTTATTTTTAGCTGACACTGCTAAACTTTTGTGAAATTCTAACTTGCTTCATTTTAAAAAAAATTGGTCTGTAGAAGCGTCCGTTTTACTGTTCTTTCGACTTTAAGTTTCTCAAACATATTTCTGATTTAAAGTTTATTGGAATTTTCCAAAAAGGGTCTCAGAATACTGTTGGTCGATCCCCTTCTTTCATCCTCAGCAAGACTTCAATTCAAATCACTCCGGTATGATGGCTGCCTACGCTTATTACGCAAAGGGCAATTTTTTTTTAAATTGTGTAGGTTGTGCATTATTTTTTAAAGGAATGTAATCAACATCTGAGTCATAGTTTTTTCTTGTGTTAAATGAAGGGGCTAGAACCAGATTCTTTGCGCAAACAAGTTAGTAACCGCCCGGGGCCAGGCAGGGGTTCAGAGGGCTCATTCTCCTGTGACTGGCCGGGGATCTCCAGAAATTGCCGCCGGCCTCTGCCTGGTCGAGCTCTCAGCCTGGGGTGGAGTGGGGGATGGTATGGGGATGGACAGGTAAACGTGTAAGGACAGTTGGGAGGTGGGAGGGGAAGCTGGCATTGGGACCGTCGGGGGGCGTTCTCCGCCTCCAGAATGGGCAGCAGGGGGAGGCGGTGATGACTCTGTAGCCGGGTGAACGGCATTGTTTATTAAGCTATGGACGTTGATCTGTGGGAGGCCCTCAAATGGTTTCCTCTCAGTTACTTAACATTGCCAGCACGGTGGAAGCTGTTCATCGTATTTAAAGTTCCAGACTAACTCATTAAACATGTACCCCTTATGCAGGACTGAAAAAATTGTTGTATTTCTCCTCCCCTCACCGCCATGTAAAATACAGTACTAAACCATAAAGTAAGTGTTAAGCAGTCTGATAAATCCAGTAAAGTTCTGTGGGTTCCCCCCACCATGTTGACATCTTGAATGCTTTAAACAATCAAATTATTCTTTCTTTTCTTGCTGGCGTTCAAGCTTTGTGGGTGCTCTAAGCAAATATTTAGTTTGCCTGTTGGCAGTCCACCTCTGATCTGATGCAAGATGAAAGAAAGTACTGAATTTTAAGCAATGACACTGTATTTTGTTTGTTTGCTTTTACTTCTCACTAATTTGACCTCTTACTTTGCACTTTCATTTCTTAAATTCTTTCCTTTCTTAAACCTGTGAGTCACTTCCCCTCTTTAAGGCTGAACAAGCTTCCTTGTGCTTTTCTTTCACTCTCTATGACCTGTGAGGGAGAGGGCCTCAAGGACTAATCTTGGGGCCACACTCTCCAGGCCCACAAGGATAAAACATACCAAATTCTGTGCTCCAACTCTCTTTAGTCTTCACGAGTCTGTGAGAACACGGAGCTAGTGGCAAGAACAATACCCAAAATGGGATGTATAGGATACTATTAAGGTAGGATATGTGCCATCACCAGAGATATGGGCTGACTTGAGATTCCTGGATGGTTTCAGGGTTTTGTTTTAATACTTCCAGGATTAGACTGACTTCTTGGGCCCCCCAGGATCTGGCTACTGCCTCTCTCTCCAGTCACCTCTCTGATCTCTATCAGCCTTGAACTTTAAGCTCCAGCTATACAGATCTGCTTATCAGCCTTCAAACACATCCTAGTGTAGAATTCCTGTGTGTTGTTACTCATGCTGTTTTCTCTACCCTGTGCAATGAGAATTCATCCTTCAAAACCCAGGACACATATGACTATCCTCAGAAGCCCCCCTGACTACCTACCTCATATGGAATTCAACACTGCAGCACCTGTTTTAACTCTGTATTTTGCATACTTTTACTTTTGCCTTTGTCACACAGTATTATTTATTTGTTTATACATTCTTGCTCTTTGAGGTCAAGAAAGGTTTTTCCCTTTGTAAACCCTACTGCACATAACACCTGCACTAAATACGTGTTCAATAAATAGTTGCTGAGATGAATTAAATTTCAGTTTGTGAATGAGCAATTATTTTTTATAAATATCATTCTGCTATTTCTTAGAGCTCACTCTTAACCAGAAATTTTCCTGGGTCATCAAGATACCAGTGGTACTCATACCTGACTTTGTAAATGCTTCACAGCAGTTGTTCACAGTGGGTCCCTGGCCAATAGCATTAGCATTACATGAAACTTGTTAGAAATGCCAATTCTCAGGCCAATCCCAATCCTAGTAAATCAGAAACTCTGGTGTTTTAATAGGCCCTCCAGGTGATTCTGATAGTCTCTAAAGTTTGAGAACCACTGTTTTACAGAATGTTTTCTCTCATAGTGCACTCTGGGGACTAGGTCATTGGAATCACCAAGGGTGTTTGTTAAACACTCCTGCCCCTACCCCAAGCCTACTGAATCAGGGTCTACAGAGGTTGGGGCCCAGAAGCCTACATTTTAATGATACTCCACTTGAGTACCACTACTTCACTCTTTACAAAGTGCTTTCAAATGTTGTTCATACTTGAGCCTCGCAACAGCCTGAAAATTTGGTGGGGTGTGATTATTCCCATTTTAATGATGAAGAAACAGTTTCAGAAAAGTTAAGTGGTTTGCCCAGTCTTAGGACTAAACAGCAAGCCAAGTAGGACTAGATCCCAGGTGCATGACCTTGGCTAGTTACCTAATTTCTCTTTGTCTTAGTTCTCCTCATCTGTAAAGGGGAGGGGGGAGTGTCTTCATGATCTAGGTGAAGGGTATATGGCTGTTCATTGCACTAGTCTTTCAACTTTTATGTAGGTTCAAAATGTTTCAAAATAAACATTTGAGAATATTATACAGCAATGAGAGTGAATAGACCTGTCACTATATACAGTGTAATGTAAATTAAAGAAGCTAGATATAAATACATACTGTACAAAAACAAGCAAACTAAGCTGTGCTGTTAGGAGTCAGGATAGTAGTTGCCTTGGGAGGACTAATGACTAGAAGAGGTCATGAGGGGTTTTGGGGAGTGCTGGTAATTTTCAGTTTCTTGTTCTGGGTGCTAGTTATGTGTGTGCTCTTTTTATGAAAATTCATTAAGCTGTACACTAATGATATATATAGTTTTCTGTATGTATTTGATACTTCTACGAAAAGTTTAGGGAAAAGAAAAAATAATAATAGTGCTTACTTCTTACGGTTTTTTATAAGGATTAAATGAATCAATACATTCATCAGAGTCAGAATGGCGCCAGACACATAGTAACGGTAGCTATTATTAGTATTTTCTAACCACACCCCAGGGCCTTATTGTCCAAGGGAGCCTCATTTGGGTATTGGCCTAAAGAGAGCTCAGCTCACAGGAGAACTGGAAGGGGCTTCAAGGGAGCAGCAATATCCAAGGCCCTACCCAGTCTTACCTGCCTGGACTACAAAGTATTGGAGACTCTGGTGACAAAGCCACATTCCTAGGGTTTGTAGCAACTCAACCTCCTTTGGGTATGCTATAGATACAAAGTAATACTGAAATAGCAAGAAAAAAAAAGGGGCAGTGGAGTTTCTTCTTTTAGAGGTAGGGCAACTGCCTTCCTTTCCCCCCATCATTTCTCTTCCCTCTCCCATAAGCACTGGTGCTCCAGCTGCATAGAACCGTATCCCCACCTCCATGTAGAGATCTCTGCTTCTCACACCTCCCTCTTTGGACATACTGTTCCCTCTGCCTGGAATGCCTGCCCATCTGACAAACTCTACTTACTCTATACAACTCAGCTCTTTGCCTCTATGAGGCTTTCCCTAGCCCCAAAGTCACAAACCAGTAAACGGCAGGGCTCAGCTTCAAACTGGGTTTGTCTGACTCTAGAATCTAAACTATTAACCACTACTTTGTATGTGCTGTTGGAGCCCTGGTGGCTCAGTGGTTAAGAGCTCTGCTGCTAACCAAAAGGTTGGCAGTTCAAATCCACCAGCTGCTTCTTGGAAATCCTATGAGGCAGTTCTACTCTGTCCTACAGGGTCGCTATGAGTCAGAATCGACCCAATGGCAATGGTTTTTTTTTTGTTTTTGTTTTTTGGCATGTATATGCTCTTAGGCAATACATTCGATCCTCTTAGGCCTCAGTGCCAATAAGATAAGAGAGTTGGACTAGATGATATCTAGCGTTCCTTCCAGCTGTACGATATTAATCCAAAAAATAACAATACCTTACATTGTATATGGTTTTACAGAGTTCTTTCCACATACATTATCTCAAACCAGACAAGTGCCTTTTGCCATTCCCTTGTCACAAGACAGCTTC